AGTCCTTGCAAAATGCATCTGCTCCAGAGCAGATGTATGTTTACTATTTTGGTAAATTATTTCCGAATACATATTCTTATTTCCCGTTTTTTTGTAGATTGTAGATTGCATTAGCAGTCGTTATAGCTTGTTCCAGCTGCTCTAGTGTTCAAGATTTGTAGGCTTTTCCAAAGGAGAGGCCAGCTTGCTGGGTAGTAAAGTACCCACCTCTTGGGGTGTGAGCAATGTATTTCAGCCTTTTGCAGAAGTGACCAGGGCATTCACAGATTAAGTGTTCTGTAGTTTTTAATGCTTGTTCGCAAGATCTGTAGTAATCGTAAACTATACAGCGAAAGTGAAAAACATCAAAACAAATCAATTTTCGAAATTTAACTTTGATAGACTAAAGCCGTTCTATGACTAGTCTATTCTTTTCCAGACTCGTCGGGCTGATTCTAGTCGTCATCCTTCAATTTCTTCTAACTCCAATTAACAACACAGTTGGGATATTCTATCATGAAGAAGGTAGTCTTAGAGTCTCAAATGATAAATGGACCCTTTTGGTTTACAAAGAAATAGAATCATTCAGAGAAACTATCCAGAACAATAAAAAGATTCTCACTAGCCTGACCAAAATAATTGATGACCCTTCTCCTCGAATGAGAGCCTTGAGAGCTGAAGTTCAAACTCATTTCAGCCTTTTAACTCAAGTTCCTGATCAGGGATGCTATCAGCACTAAAAAAATTGTACCAGAAAGTAGGGAACAATTGTACTAGATTGGCGACAGTGTACTAGCTGAAAGCGCGTCAAATTTTTATACAAATTTAGGTTTTAATTAGGGCTAAATATCACTTGTTTTCGAGTCAATTTCTCAATAGCAAGTCACCTCCGGCAGCCTTATTCTGTAACTTGCGACCGCAGATAATTGCGCAATAGTCGCTGTCAAGTCGCTGTCAAACCCGAGTTTTCTATTCAAAAAAAGCAACTTGCGACCGGTTGCTGGTTGCTATGTAATTGCTGTTTTTAGAGAATTAGCCTACGGGTTGATTTTAACTCCAGGGTAAACGTGTCCCGCTGCAATGTTCACCCTAGTCCGGCCCTGAATGATAGAAATAAATAAATGTCTACATATTTAAAGTCTGTTTTTTTTTTAAGATACTTAATTCCCCAAGTCAAAAATTTAGTAACTATGTTGGCAACACCAGCCTTTTCATTGACATTTTTACATTGTATTGTCAACATAATGTCATTTTGACTTTTATATTAAAAAAAAAAAAACAGACTTTAGTTATAAATCGACTAGCGATTACCGTGATCGTTGAATAACCGAATAACCCCCGATACATCACACACGTCAAGTCACAGAATAAAAAGTGCGTGTGCGTTCGAGACCATATTAGAAATGCTAATTTCTTGTTTGGCTTCAGCCGCACCGGAGTGGGACCTGGAACGTGGAACCCAACCCACAAGTAGAGAGTAGAGCTCAGAACTCGGGTACGGTACAGAGCGGAAGAGCGACACTCGACTCGTAACGTAATCCATATTGTACTAGATTTATGAGAGAGGTACAGTTGCGATCAAAAAAAAGTAGTACAAGAAAAATCTCCAAAATCTCCTGGTCTATTATACATTAACTTAATTCATAACCAAAAATGACATATTTTTGGCATTTTTCGACAAGTTTTTAACCTAGAACGCTTCAGATGACATTACTTTGGCATTTTTCCACCCGTTTTTAACCTAGAATATGTCATTGCCTGTTTATTTACTGTCAATATTTTGTATGTTACACCGGAAGCTCAAATTGGAGTTAATAATTTTTGTACTTCTTTTTTTTGATCGCAACTGTACTAGCGTACTAGATTAAACGTGATTGTGCTATTTCTAGTACAATTGTACTAGAAATAGCATCCCTGTTCCTGATTCAGTCGATCAGAAACTTAATGAAATCACTGGCGGCACAAACTATAGAAACAATTAACGTGGACTAATTAACGGAATAGGAAGTATCTTTAAATCAATTACCGGAAACTTAGACTCTACCGATGGTGAATACTTCAATAAATGTATTGACAAAATTAATACAAACGAGCGAGAACTTGAAAGTTTACTAAAAACTAAATTTCTGTAACCACCTCAGTAATTAAAAAAATTTCCTTCTACTATTCAGGAACTCCAAATCGATGAAAAAACATGCAACATCGATATAGCAGAAATCAGAGAATTCATATCTGATATTTCGAACAATTTAAAGTTTTACGAAGTAGAAACCAGAACTCAAACCTCTGTGAATCATTAAAAGGAGTGTGACCCAAAAATAGAAGTTTTAGAAAAAAAAAATCTAAGAACAAATTTTCCAACCGCATCAGGCTACGACCAACCATTGCGAAGAAACCGTGGTATAAAATTCCCACTCCTAGCACTGTGACGTCACATGCACAAACTAAATTTTCCTTCCGGCTTCCGGCGGTACGCGCGCGTTTGTTCATGCTTGCTGCATAATATGTTATCGATATTATCGTATTTTTCGTTTTCACTACACCCCTATCGCAGCGTCGGTTTAAATAGGTTTTGCAATTTTTGCATGTTTTCATGACGTCACGCGATGAATAGACAGATGTTTATTTAGGCGTATCTTCCTTATTATTTTGAAAAGCGATTCACAAGAGTTCTTAGAATTTTTTTCTTTATTTTCTGAATACAATTTGTATTTTAAGGTCACACCCCCTTTAATGGAAATCTACGTCTTTCTGGAAAATTCCCTTAATAACATTCTAGAAGCAATAACTTTTGCACGTTTAAAAGATCTTACATACCTCACAGGGACGTAGCAAAATGGCGTGCAAGTGGTGCCGCGCACAAGGGCCCGGGCCTCGAAGGGGCCCGGCGTGTCCTGCAGTTTTTGGACACAACATACAAGAAAATAAAAAAAAAATCAGATTGCACCCGCCCAAGCAATCATTATTGGCTTTGGCGATTTGTAATCAAACATAAAACTGTAATATCGATCTCTACAGATTTCTTTTCAGTCAGCCGTTCTAGTCCCAGTACTCGTGTCAATATTGTCAATTGTCATTCTCAATCGTGGAAATCCATGAGTGAATCCGAATCCCTTGTAGGATGTGGGAATTGTGGGACTTTTTCGATGAAAACAGTAAATCTATTACGTGAGGAGTCCGGAAAGTACTGTTTTTTTGGACGAGTAGACAAAATTCCAGAATCCAGGGCGAGGCGTAGTCTGGATGTTTGTGACTCCGAAAATGATACAATTTCTAGGCGTATTACGTATACTATTTTTTCGGCCGGAGAGTACACACTTCCCAGACTAGGCCTGAAAGTAATCACTTCCTGGCCTAAGTAATCACTGAAAAGGACATAGTTTCATAAGTAAACCGCGTCCGGAAAGTATGTACTGTCTGTTAGCCCTCCAAAAATGTCTCGCCTAGGAATTTGCCCATGCGCTATATATAACAATAACCTTCCTTTACCTAGATATCTTCTATATGTAGCACGATACCTGGATATAATTGATTTAGAAGCTTATCAATCAGAAGGTAAAATTGTCTTTATTCTTAGAATACCGCTAATCGAACCTGAGATATACACTCTTTATCACATCTACCCTATCCCGATTTTGGATAATCAAACAGGTGTTCATCATATTTTACCAATAACTCAAAAATATATCGCGAGAGATGACGATTCTTTATTGTACATATTACTCCAAAGCCTGGATCACTGCAAACCTCTTGATAATAACACAAGGATATGTTCTGACCTTCTACAATACGCTATAGACAGCGATGCCATTCGCGAAGCCCAACTCCTGAAGTCAACTGGGACACTTCCCAAACCTCAATCTTACTCGCTAATGACTACAATGTGCAAGAACTAAACACAAACTACTGGCTCATAACATTATCATCGTCCCTTCCAATCACTATCAGATGTGATGGCAAAAACAGTGTGACAGAAACAACCAACACAGTGCTCAAGCTCCAATCAACCTGGCAATACCTTTGTAGGAAACTCCAGAATTCATGCTAGACATCTAGCGGAAAAATACAGAAACGTCCAGTGGAAATTCCCTATGCCTGCTACAAACACCTGCCAGTGAATCTTCATGTGCCAGAGTTGAAACCTCTTGAACCATCTAAAATCAACATCGATGATCTAAACGTGGCACAGCATAGACTAAACCAATGTTCCGAAGAACTGGATAAACTAATCCAAGAACCATTCGTATCAAGACACATCAGTCAATGGTTCACCTCCTTCATTATCGTACTGATAGCAGCCCTTGTAATCATTTATATTATTTGTTGTAAGTGTCGGCGAAAGGCACCTCCCAAACCTAGCCCTATCGACGAAGACGTACCAGAATCGCCGAAGTCTCATTCACGTCTTCAAATAGGCAACAATCTTAGATTAGGTTAGTTAAGAGTTAAGTTAATGTCCAATTTAATTGTAACCTGTATTTTAAAATAAATTAGTGTTTTTTTTTTAAAGTGATACTTTGAAAAGACATCAGTTTAAAATGAAAAACTTAAAACATCTTCGGGTATATTCTAATGATAAGTCTAGTTCAATGAGTAGGTTTACCATTAGAATGTAAAACCAAATTAAATACAATATGAGAAAATCACTTTCACCATAATGTACAGATTCGAAAATTTATTATTTGATAATATTATCATTATACAGTGTAGTACCTACTTCAAACAAGGAATGAAGACTTTTGGTTCCGGGACTCAAGCAGAATCTAATAAACCGATTTCTTCCAGACAATTAAATATAGCATGGTCTCTTGGTATTAAATAAAAACAGCCTGTAATTTTGCCAGGTTTTATAAAACGATAAAAATGTATTTCCAATTTACATTTTCAGTAGAAGCTATCAAGGAGTCCTGGAAGCTCTTTGTATTGTAGGCATTCAACTAACTGATCACGAAATAACATTTGTTGTTTATGATCGTTAGTTTTGAGTCACTTCATTCATAATGTCTAAAAGAAGTTCCTACCTTGAAAATTATTACTACCACCCAAATTAGTTCGGTAAACGGTTTCGCCTCTTAAAGCTTCCGGTAAGTCGCTGGCAGAAGTGGTAAGAGCTGGATTATCGTAGGCATGCCGTGATGATGTACCGCCTCCTGCAACTTCTTCCAAATCCAAGCTTGGTTCGCTAAAAAGAAAAAAATAGAAATTTATTAATGCATTTCAATTATTACAAAAAAAAATTAATTGTGGGTTTTGAATGATATTATGTTTGCCATTATTAAAACATCATGTTTACCGTAAATGCGGATTTTTTATTTCAAATGTATTAGTAATCTCAAGGTAAATGATATAACATGCGTAACCTCACCGATTTTATGTGTATTAATTTAGTTTAATTAAAAATAATAAAAACAAAAATAAATCCTTTTACACACAAATGCGGCAGGAAATTTGTATTCCGTTTTCTTAAAACTCATTACTATTACTGCGTGATTGTTGAATATAATTGTTTCATTTAAATCTTATAAGAAAATTATTGTTTTTTACTAATTTCCAATTATCTATATCACGAGTAGGTTCAATTTTGATATCATTAAACTTTATCCTACTTGATTTATTATTGGACAGACGAAACTAAAACTGACTAATACAAAAAGTCAAACAGGAATCAGAAGTAAACAAAGAGAAGTGTCTTCAATTTCTGGTAATGCCAAAAATCACCGTGGAAATACGAGAAACGAATAAGAAAAATACAATATTAAAACAAGATGCTAATAGAGTAATATAAATTAATAACACGGACGATAGTGATGGAGAAAATATTCAGTTGGCAACCAAAAATAAAACTAAACGTAATAACTCCTTGTGCGTAGGAATTGCTTGTTCTATCATCAATTCCAGACGCTTTCCATATTATTTGTGGCATTCGTTGTTTCCTGGACTGGAATATCTTTCAGTCCTTCCTTCCAACTTTCACTCCGTTTTCAATCTGATTTGGCCGAATTTCGTTCTGGAAAATTCAAAATGTGAGTGTTTTGAACGAACTGTATCCTTGTTGTATTTAACAGCGGTTTTAACGCTAAAAAGCCGTGGTTTTTTGAACTGCCTTTATCTACGTTTTGAACTAGATTGGCTTTGAATTCAGGCAAGTTCATAGTGTTGTTATTTACAAAGACAACCCAATTTTACTGAAGTTTGCATAGTACAACTTTGTTCTGTATTTTTTGGTTGGAAAAACATTTAAGAAAACATGGAAGACTTGTAGAAACAAAGAGAAGTGTTACGTTTATCGTTTACCAAGAAGGCTAAAGAGCTAGATATCGTGGACAAAGCTGACAAACAAGAAGTCCAAGTGTTCTGGGTATTGTTTATTGAGGAGTCCAACAAGTTGGATGATCTGGACGAAGAAATTTACTGCTTGATGCTGAAAGAGTCACTGGGATCTGCTGGCAGAGATGGATTCATGTGAGCTATTTGGTTCTGAGCCTCAAGTGCACCGAATTCCTCGAAGATAAGTCGAAGGCTCAATCTGAGACTCAATCAGTAGCTAACCGGTCAAGTAATTCAACTAGCAGCGACAAAGGTAAGCGCAAATTCAAACTTCCTGCTATAGAATTCAATACTTTTGATGGCAATTTTGTTCACAATTTAGTAAGGTGCATGACGATCCTGAGATAGATTTAAATGGCAAAGTAGAATATTTGATGGAGGCTACATTACCAGGCAGCAGAGCAAGACAACTTGTTGAAAGTTTTCCTTGATGCGTTGGGGAAAATTATAATGAAATTATTGACTGTTTGATTTCTCGTTTTAGCAGGGATGATTTGCAGATATATAGAGGTGTATGTACGTGAACTATTCAAAATAATTGTAAACAACGCTCTTTCTAATGGTAGAATGGATTTAGTGGAATTGTATGATAGCATAGAGACTCAAATGCGCGCTTTGGACACTTTGGGCGTTAAATCTGATAGTTGTTCTGCAATGTTATTTCCACTTATTGAGTCATGTTTGCCAGAAAATTTGTTAAGGATGTGGCAACGTTCATCTCTAGCCAATACTAGTCCTACCGGTTCCCAACAAAGTGTAAATGGTTCTTCGATGACTATATTGAATAATCTAATGCAGTTTTTACGCAACGAGGTCGACAATGAGCAGAGGATTTTGCTGGCCACTAAAAGTTTTAGTTTGCGTACAGGCTCGAAGCAGAAACACACCAATCCCTGGTGCTCATGGAGTGGTGGGAGCAAGAAAGAAGGTCACAAGTTTCTCTGAGCAGAAAGTTCCCACTGCTACTGGTCTTATTAACCATGGAAGACCTTTAGCTTCGAACAAATTCATTTTTTGTGAGAATAATCATGATAGCCACAGTTGTTTTAAAGCACAACATTTTTCACTAGAAAAAAGGAATGAAATTTTCACTTCAAAAAAGGCGTGTTTTCGGTGTTTGAAGATTGAACACCAGAGCCGGAAATGTCGAGCCCGTTTGAAATGTGTTGTTTGTGGCAAATCCCATGTAACTTCAATGTGTTCTAATTTTCCAGAAGGCAAGTCAGTTGATGATCGCCCAGATGTCAAAAAATCTAATCAGGATTCGGTGGAAATGTTAACTTGTACTGATGGAACTTCTAGCCATGTGTTTCCCCAAACTTTACGGGTTACCATTAGAGTGTATGGGTTCAGGAGCATACGAGCACTAGTGGATCTAGGTTCTCAAAATAGTTTTATTTTAAAAGTAAACTCTACGCTGGACGAAGACATATTTTGAAGTATGGGTTGGTGGCCATGGAAACATTGTTAGGAAGGACACTTATGGGCCGAATACCTATAGGCAAAACTAAAAATGAAACTATTAAAGCTATTTCTTTGTTTGTTAACGACGCATCACTTACTCAACTTTGGCAGCTTAATACTCTGGGCATAAAGGAACCTATACCTAAAAGGAATCACGTGACCAATTGGCTCAGGCAGCTACAGAATTTTTCCTCGAAACGGTGAATATTATTGAAGATGGACGGTATGAAATCAGTCTACCTTGGGTCGAGGGACAGCACTTTAAACAAATTGGCAAATAATGACCTTGTGAATTCCTACAATCAAGTTTTCAATGAATGGGAAAATGAACACATTATAGAAGACATTTCAACAAAGTATTCTATATCCGATGATGTTGCTCATTATTTGCCACACAGAGCTGTAGTAAAAGAGGGTAGTACCACGCGCATTACAACTGTCTTTGATGCTTCAGCCAAGGAACGAGATGCCCCTTCATTAAATCAATGTTTGGAGAAGGGAGTTAATTTGATCAAATTGATTCCAAATATTGTACTACGATTTCGTCAAGGTAAAATGGGAGCTATAGCACACATACTCAAAGCTTTTTTTCAGATCAGTATATGTACAGGGTGGCCCATTTTCGATGTTTTGATAGGCTATATCGAAAACCAGCGGAAATATCAAAAATCTGGGAGCACATTCTCGAGCTCTTTTTTTGAGAAAATAACAATGGCGAAGACAAATCACGGCTAACTTGATGCGTTTAGGAAATACAGGGCACTTTTCAAATTTCGCACAATTTTAGAAGACCTTCTAATTTCTTTATTAATCAAGATATCCAAAAACGAAATCCAGTGGCATGACCAATTTTTCTCCAGATGCCTCCGATTTTGGAATATTGACCAAAGTTGTGTTTTTTTAAATGGGACACCCCGTATATTATTTTTCCATTGAATAGCTCTTTGTGAGCTGATTTCAATGATACAAGGTTTTATACCTTTACCTTCTATAGTCTTGGAGAAAAAAAAATAATTCCGTTTTTCCATAAGAAACAATGAGGTAGAGAGAGATAAGTCATTTAATAAATTATGTGTTGCCTATTTATCACCCCCCGATTCATAGTTCAAATTAAAAAAAAAAAATAGCTAAACTGAATAATTAAATTAAGAATGAAGAAATTTGTAGCCGATTCATAGTTCAACTATCTCTTTCTAACTCATTGTTTCTTATGGAAAAAAAACGGAATTTATTTTTTTTCTCCAAAACTATTGAAGGTAAAGGTATAAAACTTTACATCATTGAAATCAGCTCACAAAGAGCTATTCAATGGAAAAATAATATACGGGGTGTCCCATTTGAAAAAACACAACTTCGGTCAATATTCCAAAATCGGTGGCATCTGGAAAAAAATTGATCATGCCACTGGATTCTAGTTGAAAAACTGCCTATAGAAAGTATTTTTCGTTTTTGGATATCTTGAATAATAAGGAAATTAGAGTCTTTTAAAATTGGACAAAATTTGAAAAGTGCCCTGTATTTCCTAAACGCATCAAGTTAGCCGTGATTTCTCGTCGCTATTGTTATTTTCCCAAAAAAAGAGCTCGAGAATGTGCTCCCAGATTTTTGATATCTCTACTGGTTTTTGATATAGCCCATTAAAACATCGAAAATGGGCCACCCTGTACATGAAGCCGACAGAGATTTTTCACATTTCCTCTGAGTGGATTCTAATAGCAATGAAAAGGTGTTCCGTCATATGCGAGTATGTTTTGGAGTCAGCGTGTCTATTTTTGCTAGCAGCAACTCTTGAGAATCATCTTGCCATGGCTCTTAAAAAGTGTATGACAGAAAAGGGACCTTATTGTAAGGAAAATTTGGAAAACTTATCCAAGAGCTTTTATGTAGATGACTGCGTGACAAGTGTTTCGGATGATGTCACATTGAAGAGTTACAGGAGTCAGAAGTCTAGTATTGTCTTGGCTGAGTCCAAATTTGATTTGTGAGGGTCAGAGTTCTCTCACCAGCTAAAAGTCACTGGTTCTTCTCAACACACAGGATAACTAGGAATGATCTAGCAAACTGAAACTGACATGCTAGGCATTAGTTAAGAGTGCTTAAAAGATTTGGAAGTTATTGAATAGGCCTGCAACTAAACGAAAAATGTCTCTAGCTCAGAAGATTTTCGATCCATTTGGTTTTACAAGCCCTACGATATCAATTCCAAAATTACTCCTTCAAAGGTACTGGGAGATGAAATTGACATGAGACGCGAATGTGGATCCTGAAACTGGAGAACTTTTCCATAAATGGTTGAAGGACCTTCCCTATTTGCTTGACATTCAAATACCTAGATGGATACATGCCGGATCAAGAGAGGCTCAGCACTTGAGTCTCCATAAATTTGCTGAT